GTTACCATACCAAGCCATGACTTAGCATTCAACTATTGATGTACGTGTGTGTATATATATAACAATTAACTCATAATTACTCTATTTTGTATTACTTTATGTTAGAAAAATATTCTTATAGCAATAGCAATATCACTTAGTCTTAGCTCTCTCTTTGGGTTTACAATGTCAGCATATCGCCACCAATAATCTGTATCCTCATTTTAGCGACTCTGGAAAGATGGAAAGCTGAGTCAACTTTGAACCTGCCAGGATTGAACTTCTGGCTGTGGGCAGGGACAGCCTGCAACATTGCATTCTAACCACTGTGCCAATGGGGCTCCAAAATAGATTTAATTTACAGTAAATTCGTTTTGATTTTAAATATTGATATACCTTCTACTCAACTGGCAACAAAGAAATCTTTGAAGTGTTTTTTAAAAAATGTCATTCAGAGGTGTATAAAATGGCTTGTCTGTTTTAAAAAGAGGATTCTTTTTTTACTATATAAAATCTGTTTGTTTTATAGTCATACCTTATGTGTTTGAAAAGCTTCATTAAGGCGCATGTAATTGGTCAAAGCTCTCATTGCAATAGGCAGTTTACCTATAGCTTTCAAATCTATGGATTTCTTATGGGCAGTTTTAATAAAGGTATTCATCCACCAATATGTTCCTTTTGACAGGAGGTTCACAAATGGTTGCAGGAATCTGACTCCAAGATCCTGAAGATCCTCAGGCGGTTTTATTTCTTTTGTTTTTTTGAAGAAAATATATCTCTAAATTTCATAAAGTCAAAAAGAATCAGCAAATTAATGTGAAAGCAGATAAATTTACAATTATTCTGTAATTAGTACCTTGCTCAAGATGACCAAATAAACATGGATTTTAGAGTTTGCATTTCTCAAGAGGTCCTTTATTTTTCAGGATTTAAGTGGAAAATTTATTCAATCAGCAAAATGTGTATTCTCTAAAACCAAAGTGAAATAACATGATTTTTTTTAAAAAAATGCTTTGGCTAAACTACTTTTACAATGTAAAATATTTTTAAAAAACGTAATAACTAGATTTAATTTACAATAGTTTCATGACTGAGAAAACAGTAAATATTTGTCAGATTAGTGCTATATTTCTATTAGATGCTATTCAACTTAGCAGTTAAAAGTTAAGCTCAATTTGGACAGATAAGCATCTTTAAATTCCAATAATTCCAGAGTATTGAATTATACTTTCTATCATAGTAAGATTAATACCTGGCAGAAGAGAGAAATTTAAGCATTTTGCCTCCTATTTGGAATAAATAATATGAATTATAAATAAATTGATTTACGGCTAGACTTACAGAGTTTACAACTTGATAACTTGCCAGCCCAAAACACATTTTCTTCAAAAGGCATAAAATACAATTTAAATATAACTAGTTGGATATTACATGACATTCTATCTTTCCATTTAAGAAAATAGATATATGAAAATCTCAGGAAAGTATTCATAGAGCTTTTGAACTATGGAATTGTTCTGGAAGTAACTGATGGTAAACAGCATTAATTCTCACTAACATGAATCATTTATCTAATCTGATTCCAGATGTATTTTTGATGAATGAGTGCCAGGCTGTTTGGCAACATCTTATGGAACAAGCTAATTTTATAAATCTTGCTTCACAATGATTTTAGTTGGCTAAAGTTCTGGCCAGCAGAAGGCCAAAGTAGAAATAACCTAGCTCTTTAGTTTTCTCTCCTGTTCTCTTCCCTGAGTTATCATGCACATATAATTAACCCTTACCCTCATTCGGATTACGTTAATTTCTACAATTAGCAGCATTCCATAAAGAACAACCAAGAGTGCTGTGAGGCAGAATCGAAGCTGGCGTGGTCCAATATTATTATCACAAAACTTGACAAACTTGATAGTTTTGGTTATAAAAGCCAAAGTCCAATAAAATAGCAAGGCTGTTGAAAATAAAATAAAAAGGTAATTGAGATGCTGGTAAGACAAATTACCAAAGACAAACACAATTATATTATTTTTAAAAAGATCTACACTCCAAAGATTGTTATAAATATAAATAAATTAGATTACAATGGTTACTAGAAAAACTACATTGTTAACCCCTTTCCCACCGTCTTCCAACAGTTATCAGATTTTTGGTTGCATTGGTCTACAAAACTGGTGGAGGCTTCATAGTACAGGGATCGCCAGTGGGTTCTGTCAGTAGTTGCAGCTCTAGTTCCCTTGGCTGGAGTCACAATGGCATAGGACACAGCATCTGGTTTGTGCCTGTATGGACTCCTTGAGATTTCTTCCCAGTCTCCAATACACCACAGAGCAGCTGGCAAAGCATATGGTAATTATCCATTCTGATTATGTGTCCCACCCACCACTTCTGAACTTTCATTATCAGGGAATCTGTGCTGTTTGACTTTACATGATCCAAGACCATGTTGGAGACATGCTCTGGCCAATGAGTGCGAATGTAGTATTTCTCCAGTTGTTTGTTATTGGTATGTGAGTTCAGGACTCACATCCATATAGGAGAGCATCTAGTAGAGTTCTAAAGACTTTCAGTTTTGTGAAAATATGGCCATTGTATTGGTTGTGTCTAGTACACAGGTGCCTCATACCCTAGTTTTTCTTGCGATTCTGAAGTCAATTTCTTTGCAGCCTCATTCAGTTGGCAGAAGAAACCTTAATTCTATGGCACGAACAAGAGAGGCTTTTCCTGCTGCATCAAAATCAAGATATCTACGTGTCTTCTTGTGATCTTAGTGTTCCACAATATCGGTTGGACCTGTCTTCTTGATCAATGATCAGTCTTGTCTCCTAAATCTGCCAGGTCGGGCTACGCACACTGGGATAGACAAATTGAAATTGGCTACTCTTCCCTGGTTTGGCCCATCTGCTGAGATGGTTTACCAAGGTGTGACTGCTGCATGTGTTAAAGCTACTTGGAGATATAGATGAGAGCTGAGAGCCAAGTGGAGACCAAAGGTGAAAGAATAATCCTAAAAAGGCACAGCTGGATGTGCAGAAATGAAGAGAAGCTCAATTCTAGCAAGTACATTCATGGATCATCCTGTTCTGAGGACATTATAACTTTAACTGTATCCCCAGATAGAATAGATGTGCAATCTGGATTTTTTTTTTACCTGCACTCACAGTTCTCCTCAAAGTGTGGACAGTGGGTAGTTGTGGCCAGAAATGTACAGATTCATCTGCTGTGTCACTTGTGTCCTTTTCTCGAGTGAGATGCATTATTCATAGTCAATCATACCTTAGTTAGAGCATTTCATTGCATTTTACGTGGAGTTTCCTTTGAAAAGGCAACTCAGAAGCTACAGGTGTTCTAGACCTGGCAATTTAATAATGTTTGCTCTTTAATTGTTATGTCTCTCCGATGGACTCGCTACTTATTTTGTCATTTTAATTTATTAGAGCGTAGATTTTAAACTTTGTAAATTACTTAGAATAATAGAAATTGAAGTAGGAAATAAATTCTCAATCTGTTCCACCATAAATTCATTATTAGTAACATATAGTAGACTGAGTCAGATTGTTATGGTTGAATCCAAAATAATTCTATTCCATGAATATTTAACTTAATAGTGCCATCTTTAAATACAATTCTTTCCAAAGAATAGTGAACTGTAGGAGGTGGAAGTTTTACTAGAAGAATTAAACAGTCAGTAAGATAGTTGAAGCAGCTTTGAAGGATTGATCCGGTTTTGAATTTGTCAGACACTTTTGAAAGATTTTTAGAACTACCTTGTAGTACATCTACATCTTGTGGATTTCATTAAATCAATTCATTGCTACAAGATGTTCTCCTAGGTACATCTAAATTAAAGATACAGGGCATATTTTTCTGATTTTACTTTTTGGATTTACTTTCTCCATATATGTGGTGTATGTATTTTGTTATTGTGTATGTTCTGCTTCATTATTATTTAGTTACTCTTTTACCTTTTCTAGCTCTATAGTATATCTTTTTATAGGAGAGCAAAACTGTACAATTTTCTGAAAGTAAGATATAGCATAGATTTATACAAATGCATTTTGGTGTAATCCATTTTATTTTAACTTGTTTTCATCTAATGCAGGGGTGTCAAACTTGTGGCCTGCAGGCCTGATGCATCATGCACTGGCCACCCCCACCCCTAGTTTAGCAAAGAAGAAAAAGTTGCGATATGTCACATGATAACAACATGCCATTGTGAGTTTGACACCCCTGATCTAATGTATCACATATTAAGAAATGTGTATTACTCATCACCATTGGACTATGAATTAACAGAAGGGTACTGTCTACCTATTTTTATTATTTTCATCACAATAATAAACATAAGGTTATTAATCCAAATAGATTTTATATTGCATATTTGGGCTGCAGTATAATAAAAATCTTCCATTAAATATATAGCTAGATTTAACATATCATTATTGAAAAACCTTATTTAATAATGTCTCAAAAAATATCTAATTTTGAGAAGATAAAAGAAATATAATCAAACAGGGATATAATATTATGTTTAAAAACAAACCGAAAACAAACAACAAGGACTTTGAGAGAATCTGTGTAACTTCATTATATAATGTTATCAGAAGACTCCCTGATACATTTCTGGTTAATGAAATCTTCATCTTTATTCCAAGATATAACTAATAATACATGAAATTTAGGTAACTATATGCTTGCAATGTTGAAAAGAGTGCTTTATGTAACAGTGAAAATATATAAGCTATTATTTTTGTTATACATTATCTTGTACATTGCCTAGGATTCATTGAAATGGCAGCAAAACCCCATAAATAAATAAATGGCATACAGTACTATTAATAAAAAATGCAGAAGCATAAAGTTACCTAAATTTCATGTATTATTAGTTATATCTTGGAATAAAGATGAA